TAGCGAGGGGCGCCTGAGGCGTACCGGAGCTGGGGGGGGATGGCTGTAGCGGAAATGGCTGGGAGGGGTTCAGATGAGTCCGTCCTCCTGCTGCCACTGGATCTTGCGGAGGGGATAGTGCGAGCTCTGCTTTTTGCTCTGGTACAGAACCGGCAGCTTCCTCCCTTTGGCTCCTGCTGCTCCTGGGTCTCCGAGGTGGCTGTTCTCCCAGCGAGAGTGGCTGAACAGGACACCTGCATTTGCTTCAGCAGCTTTAGAAGTAGGTGCTGTTCAGGCCTCTCTGCTGACCTGTGGGAGAAAGGCGGGACGGGGGACTCGATGTGCCACCCACCCAGCTCAGCTCTCTGTGGTTGTGAGCAGCAAGTCGGAGGCCCTTGTGAAAACGGCTCAGGCTGCTTTTGGTGGCTATCCTGGCTGACTTGGCACTGAAGTGGAAGAGGATGGAGGAGGTGGTGGCATTCTGGCACAGCGTCGGTGACAAACATCTGGGAGCCAGAAGCTCTTCCAGTGGCCGCAGCAGTTCCTGCGGAGTGCTCAGTCTCAGCCCTAGACCAGGAACAGCCTCTACAGAGGTCGCTTGTCCCGCTAAGCCAAAAGCCACCTTGGTTTGACTGTGCCCCTTGTGCTCTCTCGGCCCAAGCTGGCGATTAACGTAAAGCGCAGGTTTGAATTTAAGGGACGCTAATTTGGCTGTGAGACTTGGTCTTCTGCTTGTCAAAGCCAGGACAGTCATTAGAGAGAGTCGGAAAGTCCCAGCCCCTTGCTGGTCAGTGCCAGACCCCGCTCTGAACACAGATCGGGGGGCCTTGAGAAAGCATCCCAGGTTTCCTACGGCTGACTTGCTCAATCACAAATGCTCCGAGTGCCTCTGTAGAAACAGTCATTCCCGCCTCTGCTGAAGAAAGCTTCATTCTTTCCTGAGGCATCTGCTCCCACGAGAAAAGGCTGAGGAGTATTGCCCTACTGCGGTCAGAGCAGAAATGTTTCGGCCTGTGAAGGAGACCGTTGCGAAAGGCCGGGGGAGGGAGACGGAGTTGATCAGGCTCTCCCTTGTAATCCAGCTGTGATTTGCCCCCCTCTGGCCGATACATCGGGGTGCGACCCCCGACAAGTGAAACGTGGTGTGATTTGGCTCAAAGCGGCCAGCGACCCGGCAGAAACGGTGGTGCCGCTTCCAGAAATGAAGGGGACAGGGGGTCTCTTCGTGCTGTGCCACAAGAGGGAGCCCAAGAAATCCCCGTAAAGAGCTTCCACCAACAGCACATAAAGAAAGGAACTTTGCAGACGGCAAAGCACAGCCTTGCTGTAGATCGTGCAGTGCAACAGAGGTCTCCTTATGCCTGGGCCCAGCGTCGTGGGATCCTTACAAGGATCTCGTGTGTGG